TTTTCCCATTCAAAAGTATTATCTCATAACATTAAATTAAACAAAAGGGGTGTCTTCCTCAGGATGGACGCACACTTCCTAATGTCAGGATGTCAGGATTTTTCCGTGCTCAGGGGACGACTCTGACAGCTGGAGCTGTCACCTGGATCTCCAGGTGTGGATGCACCTTCTGCCTTCCTATCCATGGCTCTGCTGCTTTTCCTCACACGCAAGAAAGCCAGCGAACACAATGGCTGAGCGTAATGTTGAATGTTAAGCTACTCTTGTTTCTTTGGTAATAAAATTTTTTTGGAAGCTTTGCTATTTCATGATTAATCACAAACTGATAATGAGAAACGTCCCAGTATGTGTGGGTATGGTGAGAGTCCACGGTTGAAAAGAGCTGGTTTTGCAGACCAGTGCATACCTGAGGAATGAGTGCTGGGACATTATGTCTTTCAGGCCACTGTGATGCCATTTAGCACTTACAGTAGCAGTGCTCAGTGGACTGAGAGACAGAATGTTTATCTTAAGCGTAGGTTGGTACTGTTTCTCTCTTTTTTCTAAATTGAATTTTAGTTGATTATACAATGTTGTGTTGGTTTCTGGTGTACAGCATAGTGATTCAGTTGTACATATATATGTTTTCTTTTTCATACTCTTTTTCATTGTAGTTTATTACAAGAAATTTAATATAGTTCCCTGTGCTATACAGTAGGACCTTGTTTTATATATAGCAGTTTGTATCTGTTAATCCCAAACTCCTAATTTACCCCTCTCCCTCCTTTTCCCCTTTGGTAACTGTAAGTTTGTTTTCTATGTCTGTGAGTCTGTTTCTGTTTTGTAAATAAGTTCATTTGTATCATATTTTAGATTCTGTGTATAAGTGAAATCATATAGTATATGTCTCTCTTTCTAGTTTACTTCACTTAGTGTGACAATCTCTAGGTCCACCCATGTTGCTGAAATGGCATTATTTCATTCTTTTTATGGCTGAGTAGTATTCCATTTTATTTATACACTACATCTTCTTCATCCATCATCTTAAGGTACTTTTTCTCTAAAGGTTCAAATAGTAGACATGTTAGGCTTTCTGGGCCATATGGTTTCTGCTGCAACCACTCTCCTTTGCCATTAAAGTGTGAAAGCAGGCATAGACAACACTTAAAAGAATGAGTGTGGCTGTGTTCCAATAAAAACTAATTTATGAACACTGAAATTTGAATTTCATGTAACCTTCACATGTCACAATATATTCTTTTTTAAAAAACAATTTTCATTTGTAAGCATGTATAAACCATTCTTAACTTGCAAGCCATACAAAAACAGGCAGTGGGCTATTTGGTTCGTGGGCTGTAATTTACAGCTCCTGGTTTTAAGTATGGAAGCAATAGCCAGATAACAGACCAATTAAGGAGGTGAATCTGGTTGTTATGACATCCCAAGGGGGGCTACACTTAAAATAAATTTTAGCTAGAATGTGAAGTGAGGAAGTTTTTGATGTTTCTATATGATACCACATATAGAAACAGAATTCAGAATTATATAGACACTTCATCCAAAATCAGTCAGGACCCTGATCTCAAAGACAATAGGTAAGAGGAAGCAATTGTACACAGACATTGCAGGCTGCTATATAAAAAATGAAGAAGTGTTATGGGAGCAAATATATGCAGCACAAATTTAGAATTTCTTTCTTTTTATCTAAACGGTTAATTAGAAAGACTGTGATATTTATTTACCTTCAGCGGACTTAGTAAATATTTCACTACCTCTGTGGTTCTTTGTGTTAGCAAGAACATGAAAGTTTTGAGAGCCTAGGTCTTCTAAATCCATATGAAATGTCTTTATTACCAATTATTAAGTGTAGAATTGATTTTCAGGGCATCTTTGCAGGGAGAAAAAACAAAGACAAATTAAAAGAAAGAAAAAAATCAGAAGGAGAGTGGTAGACAGCAGCAATATGGTGTGGGTGTAGACAGTCCCTGTAATTCATGGAAAAGTTAAGGCTCACAGATAACTCTGTCGTGAGAAAGTATTTCATTTCTTGTAGAATAGTTCCCATCAACCAGATCGCTACAAAAATTAGCATAAAATTTTACCTATGTGAGGATCAGGCCGCACAGAATGTGTAATACTAAATATGAACTTCAGTTTTGTGGTGGTTGTTGTTGTTGTTTTGTAAATATCACCAGGCACACATCTGGAGTTTTAGTGCTTGCCACAATGTAGCTTTTGGGTTGACATATATCTAAGAAATGCGTATATTAACAGCCAGCCTGTAGAGCCAAGCACATTTTAGTGCCGGCTACAGCTGAAAGAATATGTTTCCATTCCTTGTCCATCTGTTCTTGGCGACATCAATTTAAACTAGAAACACAGAATAAGTTTCATGAGAAATAAGTCTAAATCGGGTTTAGCACAGCAAGGTGAATGTTCTGAATGATTATGACTTGTTAACATTTGATTTAGTAGCTAGATGGTTGTGTTTACTTGAAGAAATCTCATGCTGCAACTAGAGATTAAAGTTTAAAAAATATCTTTTTAAAATCAGTTTGTTTCAAAAAATACAGTGGCCTTCACAGAGAACAAACTTACGGTTCCCCAAGGAGAAAGGAGAGGAAGGGATAAGTTAGGAGCTTGGGATTAACAGATACAAACTACTGTATATAAAATAGATAAACAAGGTCCTCTTATAGAGCACAGGGAACTATATTCAATCTCTTGTAATAACCTACAATGAAAAAGAATATATATGTATAACTGAATCACTATGCTCCACATCAGAAACTAACGCAACATTGTAAGTCAAGTATACTTCAATATTTTTTTCTTTAATGTAGTGGTCTGGCCACATTTTCTATTTTCAGATCTTATATTAAATTTGCCAAAGAGCATGGGCCTAGAAAACTTTGAGCTTTCGAAGTGCTATTCACCACACTTTAACTACGCTGAAAATATATCATTTATACTGAGGTGGGAAGCCCCATAAAAAGACAGGCAGGACCCCAAGGCAGGGCCACTACTCTCCTGCCAGCACCATCTGGTTCCCTGGCCCAGAGGCTCTATCTCACTTTTTGCCTCTGAAACGGCTTACTTACCCCTAAAATTCTATTGGTTCCCTGGGCTCACATCTGATTGGTTATTTCTTTCATTCCTGATTGGTTATTTCCTTCACTCCTGATTGGTCCATTTCCCTAACTTCTGATTGGCCCATTTGTAGTACTTCATTTGCATGGAGCTCACTCCTGATTGGTCATTTCTCTCCCTCCTGATTGGCCCATTTCTACAAAGCTTGTTCCTAATTAGTCAACTTTTGTTATACCTCATTTGCATATGAAGTTACAAAGTGTAAACTGGTAGCCTATAAAAGCCAATGTAAACCTACAGGCAAGGTCTAGAGCTTGGAGCGTTAACTCTTCTGGGCCCACTGGCAAACCTGAATTCTCCAATTCTCCGAGTGCTGCTTGGTCTCTTGCCCGGATCCAGGTTGCTGTCACAACTGAGCTGTAACACCGATCTGTAACACTGAGCTACAATATTGAGCTTTAACACATTTTTCCAGAATACCTCTGAACTTCTTGAAGTGGAATCATTAGTGGGGAATGAGGGCTTTCTGTGCAAAGTAGAGTACATACAACACACATAGGCTTCTTTTTCTTGAAATCCAGCCTCAGCTATGACTGTTACATGGTTATCTTGTATAACCGGCATGCCCTACCCTCAGCTACTCTATGTCACCCCCTCCAGCTAGTTTTTGCTCCTAGAATAAGATTAGGCTTTCTTTGCATTTGAAAATACATAGGATTACATGAAATTATCATCGTAGAAAAGGACCATATATGTGCACCTAGACTCTTACCTTCAAATCAGGGTTCAGGGATCCTGACATAACTAGGTAAGCAGAGGGGCTGTGTGCTGAGACAAGGTTCGGTAGTTTTTACCGGTGCACGTGCATCCTCTACATTCCGGCCAAGTGAAGACCTGGTTGGAGAGGGACCTTGCAGCTCACACAGGCCCTCTCTGCCTCCCTATGTGAGAAGTGTTTCTATAATTTTTTAAAGTATCTTTTTGGTGTGACTGATTTATCATATAGCAACGTGGTTATGCCTCCGAGTGGTTGGATCCAAATTTTGGCTCTCTCACTTCCTGTGTAAGTGAGTATGAATAAATTACTTGACTTCTCTAATTTTCAGCTTCTCTGTCTGTAAATTCTAATAATCATATTTATCTTAAAGTGGCTTTTTTGGTGCACAAATGAGTTAATCTGTAGAGAGTGATTCGCCCAGTGACGGGCACTGAGTAAACACTCAAAAAGCAATAACTAATACTACTAGCCTTTTAAGAACTGTCCTGTTTAAAAAGAAAATAGTGATTGTACTGTGCTAATTATCTGATTGACTTCGAAGAACTCAGTAGCATATTCCTTATCAGAAAAAAAGCATTTCAAGAAATTAATATTGTTTCTTGAACTTCTGCACAAATTTACCTATGATTGTGGGCAAGTCACTCAGTGATTTAGGGCTCAAGTCTTTTTATGTTTAAAGTGAAAAACTTTAATTCCATGATCTCTAAGGTCTTTTGTTCGGGTAATAGAACAAAATCATGTTTGGCAGCATATCCTCATACCTTATTTATAGTATTGAAATGTGTATTTGCTGCCAAATGTCTGCTGTGGGATGTATAAATGTTCCATATATACATGTGGAATAACATGAAGTTTGTTGATGTTAAAAACTAGTGGTATTTTTTTTTTGGTATTATTTGGCTCAGAATCCATTCTTCCCACTTTGTTTTAGAAGAAGCTGACAGCCCATCTTTTCCCACAGCACCTCAAGGTTTAGTTAAACTGAGAGTTTCAGAAGTAGGCCATCTTTTCAATAGTTTTAGCACAGTATTGGTGACAGAGAAACCTTCTTTCTGCAGTAGCTTTTATTTTTCATTTTCCTAATATCTAATGACATTAAATGGTACACATAGGCATATGCACTGTAACTTACACGGCTTCTGATTTCTTTCAGATCTAAGTGATCAGCTGCTGGAAGTGGTTGGCTTGGAAGGAGCCATGGAGATGGGGCAGATATACACAGGACTGAAAAGCGCTGGGCGGCGGCTGGCTCAGTGCTCCTCTGTGGTCATCAGGTAGCTCTTTCTCTCTAACTGAGAAAGGGGGTGGACATGACATAAGTACAAATTAATTAAAATTATATAAGACTCTGATAACGATGCTTGTTTAAGCTGTGCCTCAAGTTACCAAGGATTAATACTGATATATTTCAAATTAATGGAAATTGGCTGAATTTACAAAGTTTTGGTTCACTGTTACTTATCAGGTCTGTTGGAATTGGATTCTCTTTTGTTGAGACCATGGATACACTTGTGACATACAAATTGTATCCCCTCTAATCTGGTTCACACTGAAGTTTATTTTACTGAAGCACTGAAGTACCAGGGAAATTATTCAGTGAAAACACTATTAACATCATTAATTTAAATTCTTTCATAGAAGAAAGCCCACCCTTTTTTTCTGTAAAAATAAATGATGAGTAATTATAAAATATAATTATATGCGTGTATTACATTTAAATGTTTTGAAAAGGCATGTTTTCCAAATTTTACCTGTAGAAAAAAGATTTGTTTTGACCCCGAAGTGAAACCACAGATTATAGTACAGGTATATATATATATCTGAAAGTGTTGCTACTGGAAAGTCTGAGACATCAAACACTTTCTCCAGGTTTGCGATGTGGGTGTGAAAACAAGAAGGCCCTTTTGGCTGTAGGAATTCTGATTGTGTCATTAAGCATAAGCTCTACATTTTTCTTTGGGCACCCAGAATTTTTGTTTATATAAACATATTTACCAGGAAGCTCTTACCATTCTTGTAACCAGGATATCTTTCAGGGTATTCATTTATAGTTAAGAGTTCAAATCCCTTTCAAAAGAGATAACTTTAGGGCAGAGCCCAGCCATTACCATATTTGTGTTCCCTGGTCTCATTGTCTTATATCAGATATGTCTGTTACATAAAGTATTTCAGTGTTAAACTTAAAATGAAAAATTTTCCCTAGGACTAGCAAGTCTCTGCCAATGCAAATCGATGGGGAACCATGGATGCAGACCCCATGTACTGTGAGTACAGAATAATGAAAATGTCTAGATATTATATACTCCCCCAACTAACCAACCACATACTCCTGTAGATAAATAATCACAATATCTAAGCTTTGGACCTATCGCTAAGTACCTTTTCTTTTCCATTTTTTATGTCACAGAGCCACTGCATTCAGATTTTAGGCACTATATGCCCTTGGCAATGATTGAGCTTTTGAACGTTTCTGTTACCTTTAGATACCATAAATGAGTTATAAACTCTGGAACTAAACAAAATCGTTAAAAGTTCCTCTTAACCTTTCTTGTACTTGCTTCAGAACACCTTATGAGGAAAATATTTATGGGACCTTCAGACATAATTCTCCCTGAATTTGTTACCCATCTGTTCTTCTGCCTTCATTTGGGGATTGGACGGCTTCCTTCTCTATAGAACAACACCCACTGTAGCTGTTCTCTCCACAGTGAAATATTATTTAAGTCAGATGTTTAGATCTACCCAAATTTAAATTTCTATTTGTATAGTGAATATTTTATTGCATTTCCATAATATGCTAGGTACTGCTTTTGGTGCTAAGAATGGAACCATGATGAGTAATATAGACCATGATCACTCGTAAAACATTGAAATAATAGAATGTGGAATAGAACATATTCAATCAAATAATTATCCTTGAGGAATTTACATTATAATAATAGGGGTTTAAATTAAGAAAGCAAGAAAGGCAAACACATATATAATAAATATAACTTTTGATTGCAGTAGTTTTGAGAAAATGATGAAGAGGAGCTGGGGGTAGTATGAAGAATGCTTTGGCTGAGTGGATCTGGGAGAGGCCTTTTTGAAAGAGTCAAAAGCTCAGTATGTTAAACAGTAGGAGGATAGTGTGACCAGAGTTTTTAGAGGTAAGGTGAGAGTGTTAAGAGGTGCAGTAGAAAAGATGGGCAGAGGACAGACCAAGTAGAAAAAATGATGGTAAAGAGTTAGCATCTGTCAGCGCAGTAGGAAGCTATCGAATGCTTATAGCATCATCCGATTTACATATTTCAAGTTCGCCGTAGCTACTATGTGGAGAATACATTGTACTAAGGTTTATTAGAGTGGTCTGAGCTTGGGCAAGGATAGTGGCCAGGAAGTGAATGGATTTGAGCTACACTCTGGAGGTGAAACAGGAAAAATGTGGTAATAAATTCCCTTGGGGTGAGGGGTAGGAATAAGGGAAAGAGATGAATGAATCAAGGTTAGCTCTCATCTGTGAATGTGGCTACCATTTACTGCATAGTTAAGATTGGGAGGGAAAATGGTTAGGGAGTGGCAGGGGAGGGCTTAATCTTAGATTAGTACAAGCATTGTGCTATGTGCTGGTGTCACATGGTTACATGTGACTATTCTGTTGCTGTTTTTTTTTTTGAGAAATAAATGACATATGACAATATATTCGTTTTTATTAAATATTCACATGAACTCTAAATAATGAATATCACCATTTCTCAGATGGAGAAAACTGAGGCATTGGATGATCAGATAACTTACTCAAGGTCAGATAGAGGACAGCTATGGAACTCAAACCCAGGACTCTTTGATTACAGCCTATTCTCTTAAACACTAGTGTAAACAACTGTAGCTGCTTCCAAAGAGTACAACTTAACATTTAAAAGAGGAATTTTAATTTTTATGTTTCCAGTGGTTTTACTCTGATGCAGTTCGTTCAGTCTTTGTGTACAGACATAAATACGACTTTTTGTTTATTCCTAGTATATTCCTTTTAGCTAATTGAGCCCCAAGTTTGTGAAACCCATTAATTCTGTAGTAATAATGTAAAACAAACTTGTCTAAAATTCTGTCTAGACTGGCTACTTCCTATGCCTTCTGCTATCTCTGTACTTGGTTCCAAATATCCTTTAAAAAGAAATCCTGTTCCTCCTTTTACCAGCATACATACATTTATATCTTTCTTGTTACTCTTCACTCTTCCAGTGACACTTATGAGGTCACATTTACACTCACATGGATATTGAAGGTGTAGTTTTCATTGTTGCCAGTGGTGGTGGTGGTGGTGGTGATGGCAATGATCAAGATGATGATGGGGGGTAGTATGGTTGTGATGGTGGAAACAGTAGTGAAACTTGTGGTGATGATGGTGGTGCTAGTTTCAGTGGTGGTGGTGGTGG